CTGTTAAGTAAGTATAAAGACATAAATCTATTTATAAGATGTAAGTATATATATAAATAAGTGCATATTAGCTGAGAATCAGGTTTATACACTAAATGTTTTAACACTCAGTTCCAGAAGTGCTGTCTATACTAAGAGTCCTGATTTCACTGCTGCTTTGCAGGTTAGTTACCTTATCTGGGTATGATGGTGACCTGTCTTGGACACAAACAAAAAAAACTGCGTGACTGTTAAGGTTTCGGGCTTCTTAACCCCAGTTACCAAAAACAGAAAATACTTTTAATGCAAAGAGTAGTTTTTTCAGTATTCTATAGCTGTCAATCTAAAGTGGTTCTGAAAAGAAGTGAAAATTCTGAACATGATTTTCCTAGCTACTGTTGTAATATAGACAAAAAAGGAGAATTAAGATGCTGTTCTATTTTATAAACAGACTGCATTTGTAAAGGCTCCCTAACTTTTAATATGTAGTCCCCCCTAATTCTCTTAAATGCTAATTTGTCATTCAGAGGATGCTTTCACAGTAACATGGTTGGAGTGCTGCCTGACTAAATAAAGTTTACTATAGTTTTTTGTCCCTTTGCACCATATATTAGCTGTGACCTTACACCATCGCAGAGGAAGCCAAGGGCGAATTCCAGGTCGAAAAGGTAACTGTGGTAAAATCGGTTTAAGATGCTCTGGTTTTTGCTTCAGGGTATCCTGGAGGACACAAAGATTTGGTGGGACTTAGGGAGTAATTTTGGCTTTCTGTAGGCTCCAAGTTTCATGCCAGCTTTTTCCAAATACCCAAAATAAACTAACATAATTTTTATTACTAGTGGAATAATAAACAAGAGGCTTACCTCTTCACTGTCCGAACCAGAACCTTCTTCATTGCTGTTTTGCTATAGAAAAGAGAATTCATTTTCTTTAGGGTAAGGTGTGTATCATCCTGCTTGTAAAAATGTTATCAGGTACTCTACTGTGATTTTGTTACTTGGTTTCTTTTGTGGTGTTGGAAACAAGTTGTCAGAAAAGGGATCTTAATTTTCTTCTGTGCCTTGAAAATTGTAAGCCAAAATGAATAGTGAAAAAGATTCAGACCCTGTTGATAACTTAGGTATGATCTTGTTACAGGTGCTTATTTCTTTTTTTTCATGGAAGGTTGAGGGTTTAATCTTAAATTATGAATTTAGAATAGGAGTAGCATGAGCACATTTCATCTTATACCAAACAATATCCTTAAGGACAGCCTGTCAGCTTAAAATAATGCCATTTCCAATTTAGAGATCCCACTTTCCACTTCTTTGCCTTGGCTTCTCACTATTGAGTTTCTTGTTCAGCACTTACTGTTTTGGGCTGAGCAAAGGCAATACTCAGAAGACAAAAAAGCAACAGGAATTGCATTTTGATTGAGACACCTGTGAAGTAAGTAGAAAACAGTTACAGCTATTTTTGGCAAAAGGAGAAATTGAAAGGAATATGGTGCTCTTGAGTGTTCGAGAGAATGGAAAATCAGCCAGCAGGAACTGTATTCCTGGTTCTGAATGTGGCTTTTGATGTGACCTTAATTGTCATCTCTGTTCCTTATTAGCTGAAATGCACAGTCAGAATAACTCATTATAGGATAAAGTGTCTGTGCTTCTGCTTTCAGTTCTGCCTGTGCTTTCATTGAGATACTGCCTGCATTTCCCCTTGTTATTTTCTTAAATCTTAGATTTTACACTTTACTAACAATACCTGTTGAAGCCATTTGCATTTTTCTTTTAAACTGGGAATAAAACAAGATACCTAGATTTTTTCATCATTCTCATGTGCTCCCCCTTCACATGCATTCAGCATACAGGCATGCCAGAAAAAAATTGAATTTTTGACATATACCCCAGATAATAAGAAACACATTCCTGTTACCTTTGGTTGGCATGTTGAACAGCTGGGCAGTGGATCAGACCAGAAATGAGCTGCTTCCTGTGATCCTGTGTGAATGACCATGGATATGTGTGTGTGTATATATAGGGTTTCAGGATAGTGGCTTACATCAGAAAACCGCAAGATGTCATGCCTAATAGGTTCTTAAGACCATCTGGCAATTTAGTTTAATTACTTTTCTGATAAAGCAGCAAGATTATTTTTTTGACTTGTACTAATCCTTGCAGGATGGACAGTGAAAAGACTTGTGTATTATGAAAGGAATGTTTATTTTACCTTTCAATATACTTTCCATATAGATATAGATGCTAAGATTCTGTGCTTCGGTGTTGCTTTGCAAATATTTCTGTGATAAGAGAGGTTGGAATACTGAAATTGCTAACCTGGAGAGATAAAACTTAAAATAAAAGCTCAGTTTGAATAAACAAATCTGATATTGTGAATTAGTCATTAATTTGTGAGGCAAACAGTATGTCAGCAGTGTATTTGCAGTTTGAGCTGTATTTTCTTATATTTGAATATATTTGGGTTTAACAAAAGTCTTTTAGCAGTCAAAGTGTCTGAGGAATGCATTTTCTGTTTTTCCTTTGTCCTTCTGTGATATTTTCATAGAAATTACTTAATTGGTAATTTAAAAGATTAATCATTTACCTGAGAAAATCTTGCAGGGTAGAGTTAGATAATATTGAATCTTTTCTAGGTTGTCTCTTTTTTTCTTAATATTTTTGAGGGTGTTGATAGCATCTTGTTGATCCTTACTTGACTTCGACTGGAACCAAGAAGGATGCCAGATGAGGTCCAAAGTTTATTACTAATCATCCTGTTTTACTGCCTTGGATGTGGCATAGTAGATACATTTACTAGCAGAAAACAGGAATGGATGTGAAACAAACAGGAAACTTTGTTTGTAAAGCATTTTTCTGTGATAGCGTGTAGCTTTTGTGTTTGGGCAGTTACTTATTGACTCAACTGAAAGGAAGTCCCAACCTCAATGCTATTGTATACAGTTGTAGAAATTGAGGATAGACTTGATCTACAAAGGACTTTGCGTTGGTTGTAGAGCATCAGAGCAAAGGACTGTCTGGTCAGGTGTTGTATTTCTAGCAGCGGATGGTTGGGGTTAAAATATGACAGCAGATGAGGTGCAGATGGTTATTTCTCCTGGAATATCCCAAATATGTCCAGGTTAAATTTGGGTTGAAGGTTATGTTGACATCTCTGTTCCTGAATGGGCCTGTCTAAGAATTTTGCTTGCTGATTTTTTTTGCTTCTCATTGAACACTAACTTGTGTTAAGTAATGTTTTAAGTAAATTGCAGGGAGAATCAGATTGAATGGTGCCATGCTCTGTATGTACTATGGCTACATTTGTTGTGTATGATACATATATGCCTATAGCTATATGTATGTGTGTATATATATGTATTGGTTTATTAAAAGAAAGTGAATGTAATCAAACTTGCAAAAGGTCATAAGTGATAACATTTTACTTGCACCTATACAACATTTTTAAAACATGAAGTGTTGGTAAACCCTTAAATGTAACTTAAACTAAAATTGTAACGAGATATCTAAAACACAGGTTACGATAGTTTTCACTTAGAATTCTTATTTCTAATTTATTGGTTATATACTGAAAAACAAGACTTCTTCCCAGACCGTAAAAGCTCAGCTAAAAATGTCTGATATAGGACATTGCTGATTTAGTGTCTCCTCCCTAAGAGATTTCAGACTCTCACAGAGCACCTTTTTGTATGGAATTGGCACAGAGGATGTTCTTTTGTGCATCTAAACCATGTCAAATTAAATTGTGTGACATTGCAGAATGAGGTGTGTGGTGATGTTTATAACAGAAATGAAAAGTCAGATGGGTTTTGATGGCAAAAGCCTGTTTATGAAAAATTCCTTTATTGAAAATATTCATGGCTTGATTCTTTGTCTCCCTCCCACATTGGAGCTGCATTATGATTGGGAGTCCTGCTCATGGAAGAGCAAAATGAACAGGAAGCAGGTGGGTATCTGAATCACAGTTTTCATTGGAAAGGTGGCATTCTTCAGGTTAAGTGTTTTCTGATTTTCCAATTTTCCTTTGCAGAAGTAGCACTCGGGACCACTTCTTACACCATAGCACATAAGGAGAGTTTTCAGTGAAGTGCTTAGCTTTACATCACAGAGTTAGTGACATTCAAGAAGGTTCTTGCTATCGTTTCTTCATGTGTGAATAGTACCTGTCTTCAGATAAGCAAAAGTTATTGTTTCTTAAGGAAGACAGTGGCAGTAGCAGGTACTTTTGTGGATAGAAAGCAAGTCTATTTTGGCAAATCACTGAGGAAAATGTGCTGGGGCTGTTGCATCCTCCAAGTGCCGTGCTCATGGACCTGTTTAATCGTCTTCATGCCATGGGGTGTGCGCACAAACATGCACCCCCTGTTGCTCCTATAAATAGTTGGTTATACAATTTCTAAATAGTAATTCTGCTCTCTGGCACTGGTACTGTTATTACTGTTTCAAGAATCAGAATGATGTTTTTCATGAAAACTTTTTTTTTTTTTTTTTTACTTAGGGATTGTGACATAAAAGTTGGTGACTTTTACCTATGTTGTGGTTTGCTTGCATGAAGTGAAAAGGAAATTTCCATTTAATCATTGCCTATTCTTCACATACCTATTCTTCAAACAAATGTTAAATTCATGTATCTAGTTATACTTTATTTTTTATGCATCAATATAGAATGTTAAGAAGCTAACAAGACAGTAAATAAGATGTATCCTTTTACAAGGTAATTTTCTTCAGTGTACGATGCAGTCTGGATCCCATGAACCTACTGAAGAAATCTGGGAGCAGTTCCTGTGACTAGGACAGTTTCTTGGTTCAGGGATATTATGGACTGATGCAGAAGAAAATGCTATTTAGGTGCATTCCTTGGGAGTTGCTTAATGCTTCTACTGTTAACAAATGTAGAGTTTCCGTGCATTTGTTATTGGACAAAAACTGTTGACCTATCAAAACTCTTATTCAAACATCCTTAATTCATTTTTTCTCAGAATTATTAAGCTGCTAATGATACAAGAATCAAAGTGGGTTTGTGCATTTACCCGGTATTAACAAAGCACTGGGATTCTGTTCACTCGTGCTCAGAACAGGAGGTTTTCATCTATGTCCTCTGCAACAGAGAAGAAGAAAGTGTTACTGAGGCATTTTCATCTTTGCAAAGGAACATCTTTATGTTGTATTGTCGTGAAGACATATATTTCAAAGGGCTCAGGTACTGTAGCCTTTTTCTATTGCAAAAATCTAAGTATGTCTATTTGATTTCTTATAGGTTGGGTGTGTGCTCATCCTGAGCTGAAGTTTTAAAATCTCTCTTCTCAAGAGCGTGTTCTGAGCACTAATTTATGTGTAGGCCTGCCTTTCTTTACCCTTGAAGGCACTGAATAAAAAAACCCATTATTTCTGGAGTAAAGAAGGCAGGCGGAACATACAGGGTCAGACACCACAGAAGGGAATAATTTGGTATTTAGTACAACATAGTTTCAGTGTTGTTGCTGATGTCCAGATAAACCAACCAGAACCCTGCATCTCTTGCGGTCTTAGTCCCACTCCCTGTTCCATTTACTGTAGTGCACAGCAGTTAGTAGCTTCTGCCTAGAAATTCCCTCTTACAGTGGAATCTGACATTTTGCCTAGTCTTAACAGGAACACTTTGTCCTGTGTATCTTGCTGTCCTATTGGGTTTACCTCTCTTAATCCCAAAGCAGTGGCACCACTCCTTCAAAGAGACAAGTTTATCTTGGTCTCCATCACACTCCTGGAAGAACCGGGTTATGCAGTGTTCCATGGGAACAAGAGAAGCTCTCAAGGGAGCCAGCTCCGAGTGGGTCAATAATCTGCAAGAAAGAGCAGGCAGGTAAAGCTGTTTAGTGCTGGTATATTATCAGGGTGATTGAAGGTGATTTAAGCTGCTAGAACATGGCAACAGGGGCTTTGACAGACAGATCAATTCTGCTGTTAGGCCTTCAGGGCCTCCAGTCTTGAAGCTGCTCCTGCTGACAGCCTGACATTTGGGTGAAGTTTTCTTAGAGTAGTATGAAGAAGAGAGTTTCTCTAATGCTGATGCTGGTAGTATTTTACCTCAGCTGCTCCTTAAAAATGAGAGGGTTCTTTCTGGTTAAACTTAAAACTATGGGTACCTCACTATTCGTGCTGATAGCTTGTGCTCTTTGTAGTTTGGCCTGTTGCTCTTCCTTCATTAGTAACCTGAAGTCATGAGCCAGGTCTTGTCCCAGGATTAGGCCCTTATTAGCTATTAAAAATCATACAGCTTCAAATGTAGTAATACCTGATTCTGCCAGGCAAGAGGATAGAAGGCTTTCACTTAAGACTTTCTCCAACAAAAATCAGACAAGTTTTTGTGCTTATGAGACAAGCGGCTTTTCTTATAGGAGATGCTAGCTTGTATAGGCTGAGAGACTGGCCTTGTCTATAGATTATCTTTTGACAGGCTTAGAAAAGTAGAAGAGCTTTAGCCTAAGCAGCCAGGGAAAACTAATATTAAAATAGCTCTTACCTGTCAGCAGGGTGCTGATCAAGGTGGTAAAACTGCCAGTGCACAGGATACACATACAAGTGATAATTTTTCTGAAAGTCATACAGGAGAAGCTCAACCGGGTGGTCACCGGCCATGAGACGTTTTTCATTCTGATAGATTTTTTTGACCTGAACCCAAGAAAATAACATTTTTCTTTAGCGGCAAAGATCTGTCTAGAAAAGAACCCCCCAAAAAGCAGATAATTAAAGAAATATGAAGTTGACAATAAAATTCTCTTGAGGAAATCAGTTTTGCATTGTTTGTGACAGTATGTTGCACAAAAGCCTTATCTCAAGTGTGCCAGT